TACTTCAATGTCGTAATATCCCCCACCCCCCCCCGCTATGATGAAATGTCCTGCTAGCCTGGTTATAGTTCTCCTCACATTGGGATCTGCCCCTTCTAGAAATGCTTAGTGCTCTAAGAAATTACCATCTGACTCCTCATCTTCTATTGTGACTGCTAGTATGCTGCTTATGTAGACAGGCTCACTATCCCAATTTAAATCAATCGGTTCTATTGCCATGTTGGCAAGTAAGCACATGGCTGATCCAAGGGAGGCTAAAGCATCCGCAAAGCGGTTGTCTTCTCTAGGCAGGTAATTGAAGGAGATGCACTCAAACTTTTTGATCAACTCCTTGAGGCAGTTATGATACAATGCTAGTCGCTCAACCCGTACTTCCCAATCACCCTTTGCTTGACTAATGACCAAGAAAGAGTCCCCATAAATTTCTAATTCATCGATGCCCCAGTCCAGTGCCATTTGGACTACTCTTAGGCACGCTTCCCATTCACACGTATTATTGGTATTGGGAAAGCCCAGACAAATAGCCAAAGGAAAGTGAGTGCCTTGGGGGTCCACAAGGACCATTCCCACTCCCCATCCTCTTTAGTTTGATGCTCCATCAAAATATGCCTTCCACCTTTTCCCCACTTGTATTTTCAAAATGGTTTCGTCTCGAAAACTAGTTGGGATTGCTTCATACATTGAGGTGGGGTTATCAGCTAAATGGTCAGCAATGGCCTGGCCTTGGACTGCTTTTGTGTCACATACTTGATGTCATATTCAGAAATGAGCATGATCTAGTGGGAGACTCGACTAGTAACTGGAGGCCTCTCAAACAAATACTTGATGGGGTCCATTCTAGAAATAAGCAACACCAAATTAGTAACAAGTAATGGCGTAGTTTTTGACAGGCCCAAACGAGTGCTAGACATGTTTTTCTAGCATAGTGTACCTTGTCTCATAGTCACAAAATTTTTGACTTAAGTAATAAATGGCTCTTTCCTTTTTTACCTGTCTCATCATGTTGCCCCAGTATGCATCCAACAAAATCTTCATGCAATAACAAATACATGAGTAAGGGTTTCCCAGGCCTAAGGGGATCTGATACTGGTGGATTTGTCATGTACACCTTAATTTTGTCAAATGCTTATTGACAGTCTTCATTCCATTTTACTATGGATATATTGCAATCTTCCCAAGAAACTTTTGACTTTATTTTCTTTTTTGGGAGGAGCCATATCAACAATGGCTTTGACCTTAGCAGGGTCAATCTCAATCCCTTTTTGACTAATGATAAAGCCCAATAGCTTTCCTGATGATCCCCCAAAAAGTGCATTTCTGGGGATTTAACCTGAGGCAGAATTTCTTGAGTCTTTCAAAGAGCTTCAGTAGGTCTTTTAAATGATTCTCTGCCTTTTTTGGACTTGGAAATCATGTCATCCACGTATGCCTCCAATTCTCTGTGTATCATGTCATGAAAAAGCACTATCATTGCTCTCTGATCAATTGCCCCAGCATTCTTAAGCCCAAATGGCATGACCTTGTAGCAAAAGGTTCCCCATGGTATTATGAAAGTCATCTTTTCTTTGTCTTCCTCTGCCATTTTGATCTGGTTATATCCTGAAAATCCATCCATGAAAGAGAAAATTCCATGTTCTACCGTGTCATCAACAAGAATGTCAATGTTTGGTAAGGGAAAATCATCCTTGGGACTAGCTCTGTTTAAATCCTGGAAATCCAAGCACATCCTAACCTTCCCATCCTTTTTAGGCACTAGTACAATGTTGGCTAACCATTCAGGGTAAGTTTTCACTTCTAGAAATCCCACTTTGAACTACTTCTTAACCTTTTCTTGAATTTTCAGAGACCACTTTGGATGGAGCTTCCTGAGCTTTTGCTTTACTGGCTTTGCATTGGGATGTATGATAATCTTATGTACCACCAAGTTGGTGTCCAATCCTGGCATGTCTTTGTAGGACCATGCAAACACATCCCTAAATTCTTTCAACAATTCTATTATGTCAAGTTTCTACTTTGGGATTAAATGGCTCCTAATTTTTACCAACTTTGGGTCATCATCAGTTCCAAGATTAACTTCTTCTAAGTCAGCTTCTAGTCTTCTTTCCTCTTGCCATTCAATCTGATCAAGGATACTTTGAGGGATCTCCTCCTCAAGAGGTTCCTCCTCTATCCCCATGAGAGCAAAGTCTAACTCAAGGTCAAAGTCATAGGCTTGTGAGATGGGTTTGGATTCTTGTAAGATGAAAAGGAGGAATAAACATGGGAATTGGAACTAGAAAAAAAGGAGATTTTTCAAAAAAAGTGGTCGGGCCTAGGTTGTGAACCAAGGTTGCCTACGTACCCTTTTGAGGGAGATTAGGCCACTCGTAGTTCAAGCAAAAGGATTTTCGTTTCATTTGGATCAATGAAGTACAAAAACTACTTTTAGGACTGAGACATAGGGTAGAAAGCATTGAACCCCTGGCCCGAGAATTACAACTTAACAAACCTCAAGAGAAGGGGCCTCTAAGCCATGGTAGTTGGAGAAGACATCTAGTTATGAACGGGCTCTCGTAAAGGGACAATTAACTAGGCAAGGTCTTCTATGAATTCACCTCCTATCACACATACATCTCCATCCAAGGATTCCCAAATGGCACGATCCTCGAGCTTGTCAATTACCTCTAGTGCAATAGGGATTTCCACCTTGCCCCAATTGATGGGACAACAAGGCATGTAGATCTCCTCAATATCCTTTTCCTCCTGGGCCTTTGATGATGAGTCAATGTACTTCTGATCTTCTTAGTTTTCAAGAAAAAGTAGTGAAATATCTAGGATGTTAAGGGGGTTTCAGGCTGGCTTGAGGGGTTGGTGATGGTTGAGGCATGGTTGCTAGTTTGACAAAATGTAGTGGTGTTGAAAGAGGTACACCTTTCTTCTTCCCGCCTCATGGACCAAATAGGTCATGTTCATCAGGTTTATAGCCCACTCCAAAACGAGGGAGAGATCCCTTAGCTTTAACAAGGTTCAAACTCCCTTGTTGCTTGATACGTAACCCTTTGTTAGGGTCAAACTTCATATGAGCCATCATCCGGAGGGGTGGTGCTATTCTCCCTTGGACTTTCTTTGCCTCTTGGACCTTCTCGATGGAATTCACTTCTTCAAATTGGTAAGAGAAGAAACCTAAACCTTCCTCCAGGTGATGAACTGATGATTCTGTAGCTGGTGCAATCTGACTGTCCCCAAGGATTGTAATGAGTTCATTATCAAGGACCAACTTTAGTCTCTGGTGGAGGGAAGATGGCATGGCTCCAACAAGATGAAACCGAGGTCTCCCTAGCAGTAGGGTAAAAGATGGTTGAATGTCTAGAACTTGGAACTGAATCTGATAAGTAACCTTTCCAACAGTCACATTAAATGTTACATCTCCCAAATTTGGCCTAACTAAATTGTCAAAAGTCATTACCGCAATGGGTCTCTTCTTCACATCATGTACACCCACTCCTAGTACTTGTAATGTTCTGAGGGTGCAAACATTCAAAAACTAGACCCATTATCCACCAAGACAGTAGGGATCCTCATTCCTCTACAAGTTACTATGATATACAATGGAAGATTGTGAGTAACGCCATCTATTGGGATCTCATCATCTGAAAAGGTTATGACTTGAGGAGCCAAAATCATGCCGACCATCTGTGCTAGCCTTTCTGGTTCTATACTTGGGAGGACAAGATTCCTCTTGAAAACTTCCATAATCTAGTTCTTGTGATGTTCTGAAGACAAAAACAACCCAAGTATTGAAATATGTGCTAGTATTTTTGCTAGTTGATCCACTATGTTGTATTGGGACTTTTCAATGGCTCTTAGGAAATCATCATTCTCCTTATTTTTTCTCTCTTCAACTGGATCCTCCCCTATCTTGGCCTTTCCTTTATCCATTGCCCCAGTCACTTGTCATGGGGGCAAAAACCTTTTGGATCTTAATAAGGCTCCACGCTTTAAATTAGTTTGATCAACATGTGCCACCACTGGCTTAGTGTAATAGTTCCATGGGACCTTGGATGAATTTTCTCCACAAAGTTCTAGGTAGGGAATGACAAAGGGTTTTCGAGGGAGGTTGTCACTAGGTACAGTGGAAGGGGTGAAAGGGTTATTGGTAGACTGTGTGGAAGGGAGGGGGATGCACAAGGGAGGTCTGATAGTGCAAATGGTGTCAAAAGGTGGGTGAATTCATGGCACTAGTACTGTAGGTAGGGTCCCTATCGGAATAATCAATACTATAGGGTCCATGAACTGCCTATCTTCTTCATTGCAATGAATGCTATTGCTTGGTCCTGCTTCATGTGGTGACATGAGATTTCTAGTAATCCCCATTGGTTGCTTCTCCGATTGCTCCACTTGAAAGGTGATGTGTCCGTCGTCAATCAACCTCTAAACTGCATACTTAAGTTGCCAACACTTATCGGTCACATGCCTTGGGCCTTGGTGGTAGGCGCAGTGGGCATTCTCATCATACCCTCTTGGCTTGGGTTCTGATGGCAGTTTCCGTGTCAACAAACTCAAGTACCCTTCTTTAACCAATGCAGGCAACGACTAAGAGTGAGGGTATGGTAGGGGTAAATTCTATCCTATTCTCTTTTTGGATATGAGGGTTTTGGTCAGCTACGAATGATGGCTGTTGGGGAGTAGGTGGCTAGTATGGTCATGGAGCTGGCACAGGTCGAAATGGCTGGGCTAAGACAGGCACTGGTGGTGGTGGTGTAGGTAAGAAAAATGGTGGTTGGGGATTGTTGGAGTAAGTGGTTGCAACAAAGTTAGATCGGATTTGTTGGTGAGAGGATGGGGAAATAGCATGCACTTCATTTTCTGACTTCTTGATGGGGGCTTTTTGACAAAGGTTTGGGATGGGCCAACTCCCCAAATTGAGGGATTGATTCTTCCTTGCCTCACGGCTTCCACAATCCTGGTAGCCCCCCTAACAACCTCATTAAAATCCTTAAGAGGTTGGGTAATCAACACCGAATAATATGGCTCACCTAATGTTTTTATGAACATCCTTACCATTTCCTCCTTAGGTATTGGATACCTTAGTTTTGAAGCCATTTCCCTCAACCGATATGCATACTCAAGAAAATTTTCTCCTTCCTTCTGTGACAAGGCTTCTAAGTCAGCTCGATCGGGAACCAATTCCATGTTAAAAGAGTAATGATCCAAAAAGGCTTTAAAAACCTACTTCCAAGATTTCTTCTTTGTAGGGTCCAACATGGCAAACCAGGTACGCGCATCTCCTGTCAAACGTTTTTGGAATACCTGGATAAGGAGCCTCTCATCTGAACCATATTGGAACATATCTCCACAAAAGATCTTAAGCTGGGTTTGAGGGCAACCTTTTCCATCATACTTTCCAACTCAGGTAATTTAAACTTTTCTGGGAGTATTGCATTAGGGTATAAGCACAATTCTTTAAAGTTTGTAGT